ACATCGTCATCATAAGCATGAACATAGTGATCGACAGCATCATCATCAGCAGCATCATCAGCACCATCACCAATATCAACATAATAACCATCAGCATCATCGTCAGCATTACCCTCATCAGCAGTATCAACATCCGCATCAGCATCAGCAACAACATCATATTCATAATCCGCATTATCATCCTCATGATCAGCATCAGCATCGTCATCATCACTGGCTTCAGGCCACCGACATAGCAAACGATACCATACCATATCATCATCAGCATCATCAGCATCTTCATCATCATCAGTATCACTATGACAGTCGTGGTCATCGCCATCATCATAATCAACAACATAATCATCGACAGTATTATCAGCATCGCCACCACCATCATCCTCATCATCACCACTAGCATAGCCTTGGTCATCGACATCATCATCAGCATCATAAGCATCATGATCACCATCAACAGCATCAGTATCACCCTCATCAGCAGCATCAGCATCAACATCAGCATCAGCAACAACACCATATTAAACATCCGCATTATAATCCTCATGATCATCATCTGCATCATCAGCATCAGTGGCTTCAGGCCACCGTCATACCAGACCATACCATACCATACCATACCATCAGCAGCATCATCAACATCAACAGCATCACCGCCATCATCATCATCAGCATTACCCTCAGCAGCAGCATCAGCATCAGCATCAGCATCAGCAGCAACATCATATTCATCATCCTCAGTATCATCCTAATGATCATCATCAGCATCGTCATCAGCAACGTCATCATCATCATCATCATCATCATCATCATCATCACTGTAATAGCCATTGTGATCGACATCATCAGCATCATCGTCAACATCATCATCAATATTAACATCATAACCATCATCAGCAGCATCACCCTCATCAGCAGCGCCGGCATCAGCATCAACATCAGCATCAGCAACAAGATCACATTCATCATCATCATCATCATCATCATCATCATCATCATCATCCTCATCATCATCATCATCCTCATCATCATCTCCTCCTCACTCTTCTGAAATACCCTAAAACGCGATGTATCTTCGCGCCCCTGCGCGTGGCCTTGGCGTGCGACGGGTTCGTGCCATGAAGACTCGTGTGCGGGTTCCTGACACCGTGTTGAGCGTTCATCCTTTGAGCGATCCCTGCCTTCCGACAGCGCAGATCGTCGAGCTCGAATTGGATCGGCTGCGCCAGGATGGACAACAGCGCCATGCAAACATCGGTCCGTATCGGATCGGTGGGATCGAAGTGGACCCTGCTGGGGCCGCCACCGCGTCAGCGCGGCGCAAGACCTGCCGCGCGGATCCTGGCCTGGCTCCCCGCCCCGCGGGCCCTTGGGTCGGAGGACGCCTTCAGAGGTGGCGGGGGCATTCTTGGAAGAGCTCGAAGGATTGCAGGAAAGCTTCCTGGAAACCTCTGGGTCCTTCTAACGTGGAGAACAAGAAAAACAAACCTGGTGTCAAGCAAAAACTTTGGACATAAGCGAATGGTTGGATGTTGCACATGTTCGTCGGCTTAACCAGCGAGGCGCTGGACCACCTTGACGTCCTTGTCTCTGCAGAGGAAGGCGATCTCTGACCCTCGGCCCTACTCAACTTAGAACGCAACTTCCCTCGCGCCCCCCTCCCCCCATGCGCGCCGCTCACTCCCGGCCTCGCCGGTCGGTGGGAGCGGGGAGGGGAGGGCGAGTGCACGGCGATCCCTGTGGCCTGGCCAAGGTCGGTTCGGGGTTGGACGACAGCAAGGGCCGTCCACATCGATGCCAGCAGCGAAACCGAAGCCGACCGAAACGGACAGGCCGCAGGCGGCCTAGAAGGGCGCAGCGATGCAGCAACGACACAACAACCAACCGATCCGAACCGAACTGAACGCAACCATTTGCGGCGCAGCACAGCCGACCGAACCGCAGACACCCCTTGAACGAGGGGCAACATAAAAGGAGTTGGCGCGTAAGCGTTTACGTTTGGAGAACCGCGCGGACCTGGGAACGCTTGTTTGGACCATGCTTCGTCTTCGAGAATCAGCAGCATGTAGCTGGGAACGACCGCATGTCGAGAATGTGCCCGGCGGCGGGGTCGAAACCAGCTGCATGCAGCGGATACCGTCCCCCCCCTCGCCCCCACTCCCCTCTTCGACCTGTGCGTGGCAGGTACTGCCTTTACGACGTGGGCCCTGGCATCTGCCACCGAGCGAGCGATTGAGCGTTGAAGGATCTCCGCTGCAAGAGACTCCATACGCTTTCGAACTCATGTCGTCGATCGGTTGAGGTCGTCGTCGCCGTTCGATCGCCGATGGTGCGTCGTTGTCGACGATCATTTGTCGTCGTCGTCGTTGGAGGTCGTCGTCGGCGTCGTCGATCGTCGTCGGCGGTCGTCCCAAGAATGCCCAACGTCGAACCTTGAACGCCCGCGCTGGTACCACCGCGTCAAGGCGGCGCAAACCTGCCGAATGTATGCGATACAGTGCGGACCTGGCCGCAAGGAACTCCCGCAAGCAATCCGACATGAGAATCCGAGCGCGAGGTGCGGCAGGGGACAACCCCAAAGCACCACAAAGGCAACATTGTCTTGAATACCGCCCGCGGGAAATCGCTGCGCAACACGCGAATCGGGCTTCTTGGTGCGCCTCCCCACCGTACACGCCGGTCGGCAAGACGAATGGTTGGTAGAACAATGAGGCAGGAAGGCGTTGGAAAGATAATGGGTTTCCGCCCGCCAACTGAAGAAGAGGGAAGGACACCGGTCGATCTTTGAAATAGGAAGGGGCAAAAAGTAAACTGGGATCTGGGAGTCCGGAAATACCGAATTAGAATGACGGGCGTGTAATGAATTTGCGTCCCTTGGGTGCCTTCGCGACCTTCGGGGTCTGGTTCTTGACCTTGCCAGCGCGCGCCAGACTCCCGTGGACCTTGCCCATCCCTGCCGCTCCTATCTCGGGTGTGCCGGAGAGGGGGGCAGGGAAAAGGGGGGGGCATCGCGCATCATGGCCCCAGGCATCTGAACGTAAGCCTTCCCCGAAGGCACAAACCACCGATCAGAAGGCGCGAGGGTTTCTGAAAAGTCCCGCCGCCTTCTGAGAGGGCCCTTCTCACTTCCCCCCATCGGTCGCCAAAACTGGGGGGAGGGCCACGAAATCTGGAAGATGCAGGGGCCCGAGCCATGCTGCCCCCCCCTGGCCCTCACCCCCTCTGCGACGCCCCCGACGAGCCACTGCCTGCCTGAGCCACAATGTCTTGAGCCGGACTGGCTGCGGAACGAAAGATCGAGGGGGAACGTTGAGGGGAACTGGCTCTGGAGACACATCGAGCTGGAATCGGCGATGCATCACTGATTAATCGGCGACAAGCCCTCCATAGCGGATCCCTGCGCTCTTCGGCGGGGTGGGCGACTGACGATCAGCGGGCGATTGGGAGGCGATGCGTCCCTCCTGAACCCATCCCCATCCTGACGTTGTCTGTTGGTTTTCGGCGTTCGGGACGATGCAGACACCACCGGAACGCTCTCGGCGAGGACGCGCCAGGGCCGGAAGACCGACGAACACTGACAACACGTGACAACCTCGAGCCTCGAACCCCAAAGTCTAGAACCTATCCCACCTCCTGAGCCCAACCCCCCCTTGACGTTGCCCCTGGAGAAAAAAGGGGACGGGGTCGGAACGCTGGCGCGGTGCGCGAGCGAGATTCTCGAAGCTGCTGCCAGGCCGGAGATCCACCAGGAGAGGTCGCCTGTCCCCCGTCCCTTTTGCTTTCACTCACCTCTCCTCCCCCTTCCTCCACCTCCTCCTCCTCCTCCCCTTTCTCCGCCTCCCTCCTTCCCATCCCCCCTCCCTCCCCTTTGGGCGCAGCATCTGCTCAATGTGATACTTCAACAAGCCAGGTCTCCAATGGGCTCCTCCCTTGGCCGTGGCGGCGGGGAGTTCCGAAACGAAGATCGACTTCTTTCTCCGTTTCGGCAGGCGGCTGTCTGCCATGGCGGACGGGGCAGCTCTCGAGCTGGACGGAACCAACTTCTTCTGGGCGAGGGCCTTCCTCGACAACCCTCGCTGGAAACCTGCCGCCCCAACTGCCAGCTGCGGCGGAACTAAAATAGACCCTTTCAAACTCCGGTCGTGCATTGTTCGATGGCGCACGCAGAGGCGACCGCGCTGGCAAGTTTCTTGGGGAAGGAGGCGGCGTCATTCTGGGCAAGGCGACCGGGAGCCTTCCTGGGGTGGCCCCCATCTCCCTCCTCTCTCTCAGTCTCGCAGCTGCGTCCTGCGCTGACACGAGGCGGCTGGGAGGATGGGCGGGGGCCCCCGTGGGAGGGAGTCGCCGTCAAGCCTCCCTCCTCGGGTCTTGCCCTCTTCTCCATCGCGTTCGCTTCCAGGGCTACGGAGCGGCTCCTCCTCCGCGGACCTAGGGGACAAGCGGGGCCCGGCTCAGTCGGGCGTTCCTCGGTCCGCCCCCTGTCCTCCGCCTCCTCTTCCTCGAGCCCTGCAGGCGGTGCCTTTCCTTCCCCTGAGCGGACCTTGCGGGGTCGCGGCAGTCGCAGTCCTTCAGCACTTACCCGCGCCCCCGCAATGCCCCACCAACCAACCAACCAACCAACCAACCAACCAACCAACCAACCAACCAACCAACCAACCTCCTCCCTCCCCCACTCCCTCCCCTCCCTCCCTGCAGAGTGCGCCTCCTCCTCCCCCTCCCCTCCCCCACCCCCTCCTCCTCCTCCTCCTCCTCTCCTCCTCCTCCTCCTCCTCCTCCTCCTCCTCCCTCCCTCCTCTTCCCTCCTCCTCTTCCTCCAAGCCGGTCATAACATCCGTGACTCCGAAACTACCCCCCCTCCTCCCCCTCCCTCCATCCCCATCCGCTCCGCTATCTCCTGCCTCCCCTCGGCTCCGTCCCTCTCGTCCCCCCCTCGGCTCCCGTCTCCTCACCCGTCCTCCCTCGTCCCCTCCTCCCCGTGCCCCCCCCACCCCCCCGAAGGACGCCTCCAGCTCTGCCCGAGAGCCGTCACCGCCGCGCTGTGCGCGGCCGTGGACGCCCTCACGCGCCACCGGCGGGCCTCGCGCGAGGGTCGGGGCGCTGCACACCGCAGTCGCTCGGCGTGCCCTCCGGCACATCACGGTGCACGGACGCGCCGAAGAAGGGCGATCGGCCAGAGCCGGAACTGGGTCAGAGCGGAAACGCATGGGGTCGCCAGGGAATGCTTCCGCATCACCTCGATATCGGATCGCCGCGCCCAGCTCGGGCTGGCCCCGGCCGACGCGGGTGAAGAATCGAATGGAAGGCGCGGACCCAGCCAGCGAATCGAATCGGACCGTGGAACCACAGAGAGAGCCAGAAAGAGGGGGGGGCCAACGAACCATGGCCCGAGCCACGTGCGCGGGCGGGGGGGGCCCCAGGGGAGCGCATTGGGAGAAGAAGAGAGCGCCATGGAATGTGGAAGAGGTCATGGCCCTGACCATGATATCCACACACACACACACCAAGTCCTCACCCTCCTCTTGGGCGACCCCGAACGCCCCAAACTCACAGTGCGCTCTCAAGAACTTGCAGAAGGCCAGTATCGCATCAATCAAATCGGATCGGACTGTGCGTCGGATCGGTCCGCATCGGCACGGAATCGAAATCGAATCGTTGACGCCAGCGCCGTGCCGCTTCGGATCACCAGAACGTCGGAATCGAATCGGGCTGGCTGGAATCGAAACCGAATCGGAAAGATGGGATCGAAATGGACCATGAATTGGCAACGGCATGCATGCGACGCCGCCCGCGTGCTGCTGGTCACCAAGCAAGAGCGCCGCCAGTCGTGACTTTCGGTTCTTGCTATGGCGCTTCGGTCGCCCCAGCAGGTCGAATCCCATACCCCCGCGCGTCGTGCGGTCTGACATTCCTCGACCAAAATCAACCCTTGTACTGAAGGGATCCAAGCGGATACTGAAAGAGAAATGAAATCCGTGTGTGGGAGGCCCTTCGACGCGAGGCCAGCCCATTCTTCACTGAAGTCCGCCAGCCTCCTTTGAATCGTTTTGTCGTAAGGCAGATTGAACAAACAAGGGCGATCGAACACTGTCGAAATTACGTCAAAGGGAAGCCCCTTCCCTTTGTCCCTTCCCTGCCGAGAAGAATTCCGGGGAGGGGCCAGGGGGTGGTCCCCAGGGGGTCCTGGGGAGCGGTCCAGGGGGGGTTCCTGGGGAGCTTGACCCCCACCCTCGGCGGTCCCCATCGGAGAAGGACAAAGGAATGCACTCCCTGCCGGCAGGGAAGCTCAAGACCCCTCCCCCTGCCTCGGCCCCAGCCCCCACCCCGGCCCAAGCCCCGGCCCGCACCCGAGGAGACAGAACGTTCTCCTCCTCCTCCTCCTCCTCCTCCATTCCATTCCATTCCATTCCATTCCATTCCATTCCATTCCATTCCATTCCATTCCATTCCATTCCATGCCATTCCATTCCATTCAGTTCCATTCCATTCCATTCCATTGCATTCCATTCCATTGCATTCCTTACGAATAACTTCTCCCTGTCGCAACCCGAGGCCATTTGTTAGGGCGGGCCAGGCGTTGCGCTTGAGACTTCCTCACCATTAATGTCCGGAAGCCTTGGAAAGTGGCAGCAGCTTCACAGATGGAGGGTGGGTTGTTTTCAAAATGAAAGTTTCGCCTTAGCGCCGCGCACATTCGCGTATAAAAATGCTAGGGTTTCGCGGGTTGACGGCGAATCGCTTTCAATGTGTGGCTCTCGCCTTAGCGCCGCGTGCACTGTTTTTTTGAATTTGCAAGAGCTTCGCGGAGTGAGGGCGGTTCCCTTTCAACATGTGTTTCTCGCAGCGCCGCGCACATTCGTATAAACTTTGCAAGAGTGGCACGGATTCCCAGGATCAACGTACCAAACATTGTGTTGAACGGATTCAGGATTATGAGGGTGCAACAGTTGCGTTCATCTGCGGTGTTCATATCCCAAGAATTGCGTTCTGGTGCGACTGAGGGTTCTCAAGACGCAACAGTCAGGCTGATCCGTGGCGTTGGAATCCCGAGAGCAATGTTTTGGCATGACTTAGGATCTTCAAGCGGTTGTCTTCCAACGAGGCAGCTCCCTCAGTGAAACTAAACCGCTGTAGGGGCCTATGAAGAGGCTGAGTGGGATGATGACCCTTGGACTTACACTGGTCCTCCTCCTCCTCGTCCTCCTACTGCTCCTTATATTCCTCCTCCTTCTCCTCTTCATCCTCCTCCTCCTGCTTCTCCTCGCATACTCCTCCTCAGTCTCCTCCTCCTCCTCCTCCTCCTCCTCCTCCTCCTCTACACTTACTCAATATGAATACTACTCTCCCTCTTCCCCCGATGGCGGCCTGAAAGTAGCCGACCCCCCCCGCGTCCGGCTTTTTTACACACAGGAGTCCCGGGAGTTGGGTTTTCGCCTGCATGTTTTTCAAAATGCTGCTCTCGCCGAAGCGCCAGCCTCATTTTCGGGCCCCGCTCGTTCCGAATCGTGCTCCCGCTGCAGCGCTGGCCTCATTTCCGTGCTTCCGCTCGTTCCGAATCGTACTCCCGCTGCAGCGCTGGCCTCATTTCCGCGCTTCCGCCCGTTTCGACTCGTGCTCCCGCTGCAGCGCTGACGTCATTTCCCGTGCCATGCCACAGCACACGCGCACACACGCGCACACACACACACACACCACCACCACCACCACCCACCACCACCACCACCACCAGCACCACCACCACAACCACCACCAGCACCACCACCACCACCAGCAGCAGCACCACCACCACCACCACCACCACAACCACGCACACACGCACGCACGCACGCACGCGCACCACCACCCACTAGTCCGCGGATAGAGAAAATCAGCGCCATGGTAATGGATGGGAGGGAGGGGTAGGACGTCAGATATGACGCGCGCGCACCTAGCTTGTCCCCCTCCCCCTCCCCCTCCCCCCCCCCCCTCGCCTTCCGCCTCCCCCTCCTCCTCCTCCTCCACCTCCTCCTCCTCCTCATCCTCCTCCTCCTCCGCCTCCGTCTCCGCCTCCTCCTCCTCCTCCTCCGCCTCCGCCTCCGCCTCCTCCTCCCCCTCCTCCTCCACGTCGTCGCGTCACGAACCAGCCGTGCAGCTGCGCTAAACTCCCTTTACGCGCAGAACAAAGCCCTTCATCCTGGCACTCGTCCCTCTCCCGTCGGCGGCGTCCCAATATTCTCCGCATTCCTGCCTCGACGACAAGGGCCGCGATTTCTGAATCACCGCTCGAACCGCTCAATCTTCGGCTCCAGCCTGGGAGGTCCCCCACAAGAGGCTGCCGACAGCATCTTTCGCCCCGCCTTCCTGCTGTGGGTGTCCTTCCTTGGGTCTGACGAAAGGGGGGGATGGCAAGGGCGGGGTTAGCGGATCAGCTCACGTAGCTGATTGTCCCTGCGCCGCACCGAGCCAGATGCGCCCGTGTATCAAGGAAAGCTGGCGGCAGCGTGGCAGAATGCAGTTGTATGCAGCAGATGTCGTACACCCCCCCTTTCCTGATCCCCCTTGCGTCACCCGACTTCTGTGGGTCCAGGGCTGCCTTGGAACGAGCCCCCAGAGGTCCAAGCCATACGCGAGCGTGACACTAGGCAGCAGAGGCCTTTGGTGCAGCAGTGGCCTTTGGTCGGGGGGGAGGGGGCAAATCCAAGCGCCCAAGCTGGTGCTGGGGGGGGGGGGCCTGTGGGCCCACGCTGAATGACGCTTTGGTCAAGGGTCACCCTTACGCGTGGCTGAGAGGTTGCCAAATTTTCGATCGCCCGCGCCAGCATCGTTGCCGCGTCGAGGCGATACGAACCTGCAGTGGGTCCACCCAGGGTCTCTTGAGGAGAACGGAGGCTGCGGATGTCCCAACAGGCCTGCGAAGGCCTCAAGAAGCCGGGGTCCTCCAGAAGCCCAAGAAAGGGAGACTCAAAAGGGGCCAAAAGCAATCAAAGACCGTGATCCTCGACCTCATCGTCGTCGTCGTCGACCTCGCCGTTGTTGTCATTGATCCTCGTCGTCCCCAGCGTCCTGGTATCCTCCACCTCGTCGTCCTCCCCCTCCCCCTTCAGAATCTGCGCTGGGCGCTCTGCTGGGGGGCCTCGGCCAGCAGCCGCAGCGCCTGCCGCCAACGGCCCGCCCGCGCGCAAGCACCGGTCACGCCGCCACACGCGACGGCGTTGGGCGCAACGCGCCGCTGAGGGGCCCGGCTTCTCTTCGCGCAATGCGGCGGCAAAGGCAGCGGCGGCGGCAGTCCCGGCAGCGACGTCGGTGGCGGCGGCGAGGGCGGCGGCAACAGGGGCTGCACGTCTATGGCACTCCCTGGAATGCGACGCCGCGGAAAAAAATACAACATCGCAAACGAAATACGCTGCATTGTTGAGTTGGATCGATCTGTGATGGTCCTGGGGCCCGAAATCGCTCGAAACGCCCAGTGTGAAACGCCCAGGGCTCTCCGTGCCTCCAGGGGCCTCGCGGATGCCGCAGGGGGAGCCCTGGGCCTGGTGGAAAGTCCAAGGAGGCCCACAGTTCACGGTGGCGGGATGGACCGAAAGGCCTCGATGTGCACCTCCCTTGCACGTGTAGGGAAGGACATTGCCTCCCATTGCACTCCCTACACACTTCCAGTAAGAAGGCAAGAACGCTTTTCCATCAAACCAAGAATGCCGACGTCGTCTTGTTGTCCAGCAAGGGGCCCAATCAGTTCTCTAACCTCTTCCAAGACATGACTCGCATCCCACATCATCCCACCAGCCCTCTGGGCGTTGGTGGTCTAGGAAGGTCCTCTTCCAACCCCCTTGGAGGGGTTTATCACTGTTCCCTATTAGTATACACCCCCTCCCCCAGGCGACCGGCGGCAAACCAGGAACCATGCGGACACCCCCCAACATCCCTCTCAAAAAACCATACAAAACGCACTTCGCCTCCACATTTGGAGCTTGCGCGGCCAACCCGATGCGATCCGTTCCACTACCCCTCTCAACCAACAATACAAAGTATTATTTCTGGTCAAGTCTTGAGTCCTGTTCGTGAAGCCCGCAGGCACATTGTATTGTGTATGGTAGGGACGGCGGGGGTGTCAGCATATTGCTTGCTGTGCGGAAGGTGACCATCCCTAACACACAACAACAAAAAAACGATACAACCAACATGCACCTCGCGGCTATACCTGGATCGTGCGCGGCCACCCCGCGATCACTGTCAAGTGGTGTTTGACAGGGACGGCGGGGGTGGTGACAGATGGTCTGCTGTGCGCAGGCCCACCAGACACAATGAAGGGCATTGCTGTTCGACAAGGAGGATGGTGGGGGTCGACATGTTTCCCGATGTGTGCCGTCACGTGCACAAGCGCACCTGACATACTCTGCGCGTGACCCTGGACGTGGCGCACCTGGCGCCGCCAGCACGTGGCGCATCTGGCGCACCAGGCGTGCGCTCGGGCCCCAGGGGTGCCTGGCGCGCGTGGCGCGCCTCGCACGCGTGGCGCACCTCGCCCCACCGTCGCGCATGTTTGGTCGGTTTGGGTTCCCAGGTCGTTTTGGTTTCCCAGTCGTTATCCATCCAAAAACGACCGCTGAGCATGCTGAGGCTCGAATGTTACTTATGTGTTGGGAGGGCGGGTGGAAGTGAACTAGACGGCTTGCGGGCGAGTGGGTAGCTTGGCCCCTCCCCCTACCCCGTCCCTTGGATCTGGACGGGGCCCTTCGCGAGGTGTCAGAGGGTACTTTTTCGACCAAGACGGCTCCAAGAGGGCCTCAGAGAGCCCAAGATGACCTCCAAGGTAGCTCCAGATAACCTAAGATGCCTCAAGATGGCCCCCAAGATGTTCCAAAAGGCCCCAAGAACGCTCCAAGACGGCTCCAAGACCTCCAAAACATACGGAATATCACTGATTGCTGCATGGTCGCACATTCGCTTTGGATAGCCTTCCGAGGCCTCAAGCTGGCCTCAAGAGAGGCCCAACAGAGCCCCAAGACGGCCCCAAGAGCGCCCCAAGAGAGGTCCACTAGGCGATTTTGGAGGCTTACAAAGGGGGAAGGCTAATTGCGACCATCCCCTTTCGCTCATCGATGTCCTCCAAGATGGCCCCAAGAGCGCCTCGAAAGCCCCCGGGATGGCCCCAAGAGGCGCCAAGAAGGCCCCAAGGGGCGCCCAAGAGGCCTCCAAGAGGCTCCCAAGAGACCCTCATAGAAGTCCCAAGAGGCTCCCCGATGCACGCCAAGAGGCCCCCAAGACGACCCAAAAAGCCTCCAAGCTCGCCATTGTCCTCCTCCTCTTCCCCTTCCTCCTCATCAGCCTATTTCTCCAACTCCCTCCTCCCTCCCCCCCTCCCCCACCTCCTCCTCCTCCACTTTATCCTCCTCCTCCTCCTCCTCCTCCTCCTCCTCCTCCTCCTCCTCCTCGTCTTCTCCCTCATCCCCCTCGCCCTTCTCCCCCGCCTTTCCTCATTCGGCAGGTCCGCGAAGGAGCATGCGGTTCGCTCCTGGGCCTGCGCAAGCTGATCCAAGACTTCAATTTGACGACTTCCCCAGCTGCTGATCCACTGCATGCTCCTCCGCTTCCCTGATCACGGCAACTCGTCTCTGCATCACTTGTGGATGGACTGGTGGGAATACTTTTTTGATTCGCGGCTCGCACGAAGCCCAGAGGGCGTTGGCACCAAGGCTGGGGCACATCGCCAGATAATTAGCGCGAGGGCGCGCGGAGTGCACATGCAAAGACCAATTAAGGCCACGGCAACCGTAAGCCAGCGAGGAGTCACCCTGACGGCAAAGACACAAGCAGCCAGCCGCGAAGCACGCACAGCCGGCACCTGTGCAGCCGCAGGGGCCAAAAGCCGAAGGCGGCGGGAGCGGCGGGCGAACGGAAGCGCGAGCAAGCGAGGAGCCGCCCAAACGGCGCCCGCAAGCAGCGACCACTAACAGCCAACTGCAGCACGCACGGGGCCTGTACCCGTGCAGCCGCAACGGCCAGTGCAGCTGTAGGCAGCAGGGGAAACACAAACAGACAGAGAGAACGGAGCATGTGGCGATGAGACAGACAGAGGAAGCCCTCACTCACGGAGCACCCGGTGCTCATCGAGGACCGCCAGACCACATCTGAAGAACTCCCTCGACAAGAGATGGTAGGTACCAGGGGCGAACAACCGACACGCACTGTATGAACCACCGTTCGGTACTCCGACTGAAAAGCGTGCCCTGCTGCATGTCGCAAACATGCTGCCACGGCTCGTGCCAAAATGGCGCGCCGTGGCCCGCTACTATGCATCCTCACTCCAGGAGATGACCCAGTGCAGCCAAATTGCGAGTTGACTAACCCACTGAGACGTACCGGCGTCGCGGCGCAACAACGGCCTCGAAACGTGGAGTACGGAAACGAAGCGCCACCAGCCACTGTAATACCTGGCCCATCACGCCAACAGGCGTCTGTCATACCCCTGGCACGGTGAAGGGCGACTGTCACTTGTCGGCGCCACTGTGATTGAGCGGGAGCCGCGGCCCGTAGCCTTACAACGTGAGCGAACTGGCCTGCAAGCGTGGAAGCCCAGAGCAGCGGGGAGGGTTAATGCAGCCGTACCCCACAGGCAGAGCCCACGGATACCGTGGGGGAGCGCAGTGTAAGTGCACCTCACTCCCAGGAGGACGCACGTGGACTGAGGCCAAGGCCTGACACTGCGGTGAAACCGACCGCGATGAGGGCTGCCCCTGACCGATGCGGCCCATGGGGGAAGCCCGTACTGGCTCAGCCCCCTTCACCTGTGGCCTGCCAGGGAGCAGCTTGGAGACTCGCGAGTCCTGTGAAAGCCACAAGTCGATGGGACGCCACCATCGTACCCAGAGCGCCAGGAGGATGGCAAGAGCGCAGCCGATAGCCGCTAGCATTTGAATAAAGCGAAGGGCCCGAGCGAACCCAGCACGGGGACCCAACAAGCGCCGGGAGCCACAGCCGGGGAGTGGCGCCGGAGATGGGGAAAACGATGCGAGCACCACACCCCTGACGCCAAACTTCGAGTGCCGAAGCCACAGTGCCTCTGGAAGGAGCCTGAGGCAGCCACCAGAGGACCCGTCACCTGGGGGGGTGGACGTGGCGCGTGGCGCCGTCGAAGGGGGGAAGCCACGTGGGCACGCCGTCGGACTTCAAAGGGTGAAGCGCGAGGGGGGTGGCCTTCAGCCAATCACCTCAGACTCCACGGGCCTGCAATCAGCGCGGCCAAAGAGCCGTGGGTGGGGTTATTTCAGCCGACCGCACAGGCAGGGAACCCACGGGGCGCCGAGGGTATCTACGCGCAGTGTGGGGGTGCCCCTCGAACCCATGAGGTGGCACAAGAACTGTGGCCATGGCCAGCCACTGCGGGCGGGGAATGGAAGGGGCGGGGCCTTCAGCCGATCGCCCGGGCCCTCCACGGGCCAGCGTAGAACGCGGCCAAGAACCGTGGGTGGGGTTATCTCGGCCGATCGCGCGGGCTAATAGCCCACGGACTGACGTGGGGGTCTAGCGCAGTGTGGGGGTGCACCTCACTCCCAGGAGGTAGCACGGAAACCAAGGCCGCGGCCTGCCACTGCGGTGAAACGATTCCCCTCCACCAGGGGGGCTGCCAGGAGCAGTTGCAGCCCAGGGGGACTCCATTGTCCCCGAGGCCAGCCCAAGTTGGCGGCCCCAGCCTGCGCGGGGCAGGACCTGTGACTGCCACCTGCCGTCGGTCAGTCACCAGGTCGTTGGGGCGACGAGGGAGAGGAGGAGAGCAGTCGATAGCCGCTGGACATTTGGGCTGGGCACAGCAGGCATGGCATATTCTCGACACCATAAGGGGGTGCGCAGGGGGTGGTCTCTCACCGCGGCCGCTATCCGTGACGGTCGTCCAGGGCACAGCAGGCATGGCATATTCTCGACACCATAAAGGGGGTGCGCAGGGGGTGGTCTCTCACAGCGGCCGCTATTCGTGACGGTCACCCAGGGCACAGCAGGCATAGCATATTCTCGACACCATAAGGGGGTGCGCAAGGGGTGGTCTTTCACCGCGGCCGCTATCCGTGACGGTCGTCCAGGGCACAGCATGCACAGCATATTCTCGACACCATACGGGGGTGCGCAAGGGGTGGTCTCTCACCGAGGCCGCTATCCGTGACGGTCGTCCAGGGCACAGCGGTATCGGCGGGGCAGCGGCCACCAACATCATTCTCACATGCTTCATTTCAGCTCTCATCACTTCATCCATAATAAAGGTATGTGGGGTTCCTCGGTAGCGTAATTGGTTTTGCACGGCCATGGTTCACGCTGTCCTACGCTGCATTGCACTGCTGCGCGTTAATTTGGCGTGTGCTGCATTGCTCGGCTTTGCTCTAGTATAGTCAGCCTGGCCACTTCAGTTCAGCCGCCCCCAAAGCTGTAATGTCAGCGCTTCATGTCGAGACGTTCAGGGGAGTCCCTGAAAGAGAAAAGAGCCTCTGGGAGTCTCAGGATCGAGGATAGATCGAGGATGGAGGTGCGATCGATGGCTTGTCGATGGTAACCCTGCAAGCTGTTCAATGGTCATCGACCGTATCCCATGTTTTGTGTGGAGTACGGCGTTCTTTGATAATTATAATTGTCCCTGGGCTGTCGCAGGGATTTGGACTGGCTGCGAGACTTCTGTGGCCTCCCTTGAGGGTGTCTTGCTCATCTTACTCCCACCGCCGCTCCCCCGAGGAACTATTTGTTGAGTTGCGGTTGCCAACGCTATCCCTCGGCGCCCCCCCCACCTCTGGAATCAATTATTCACTGTAGTGCTTGGGGTAGCGGGGGAATCAATAATTGGGTACTGCGGTTACGCCCGCCTGGCGCGTGGCCAGGGAAGCGCCTACATCGATCCTGCGATCAGCATGGATCTGCCCCGGGATAGTGGATATGTGTAGATCTCGGCACCCAGTGAAGGTCCTGAGGTGCTCAGAAGTGGTGGAAGCAGTCCGACAACTACATTGGAAGCGGCTCGAAGATTACGACAGGTCGGCTGGTCGGCCAAGTAGTTCGGTGCATAGACGCCTCAGCTTCTCAACCTGTGGGTTGCTGGAGAGTCTCTGCAACGAGTTCCGTCGCCGAACTCCTTGGCCCCTCAGCCGACCAAGCGACGTAACGTACACCTCGAACCCCTCCTATCCTTATGCTGCTGCATCCTGCGGGGACCTTGTCTGACTCGTCACGGCCCAATCCGCGTCGAATCCGTGTCGAATCCATATTGGACTCGTCGGATCCGTGTCGAATCCATGTCGAATTCGCGCCGAGTCCGCGCCAAATCCGCGTCGAGTCCGCATCGAGCCCGCGTCGGGCACAAGAGAAGACACCCATTTGGGGGACAAGCGAGGTCCCCCGAAGATGCAACGTAACGATCGAATCTCTCGCCTCGACCCTCGAGGCTGTCCCCATGGACGGAAAACGGGTGCGCGCTCCTCGCGCATCTCCGCGAGCAGCGCGACCGCCTGCAACCACGCGCCAGGGGCGACGCACGAGCCTCGGCCGCACCGAGAAGGCGAGGAGGAGGAGGAAGAAGAGGAGGAAGGGGAGGAGGAGGTGGTGGAGGAGGAGGAGGAGCAGGAGCAGGAGGAGGAGAAGGAGGAGGAGGAGAGGGGAGGAAGAAGAGGAGGAAGAGGAGGAGGAGAGAGGAGGAGGGGAGGAGAAGGAGAAGGATGAGGAGGAGGAGAAGGAGGAGGAGAGGGGAGGAGGGGAGGAGGAGGAGAAGGAGCAGGAGGAGGAGAAGGAGGAGGAGAGGGGAGGAGGCGGAGGAGGATACATCAGGTAAGATGAGAGCACCATTGACGCACGAGTCTCTGTGTCTCTGACTCAAGGCGTCGTTTGGGCACACGTAGCGCATACCAGCACGAGTTGAGAACATGCGCACAGAGCAGGGACCACCAGCGAAGGGCCTGCAAGCGCCACGCCTCGTGGATGGCCAGGAGGAGGATAAGGGGGGGAAGACTTCTGAACGAGCTCGACATCGTCTGGGGCCTCATTATACCCAAAATTAGGCCCGTTTCGGGACCCGGGGTCTTCGAAAGACGGACCGGGATGAAAAGCTGGTCGCCGAGACAGCCTCGATCGACAATTCTGGGGGCCCATGCCACGAGAACATCATGGCGTCAGATGCACGGGAATCTCGAAAGACTCCACAGCTCTAACAAGGGGGGGGGGCAGGAGGGGAAGGATGAGGGGGGAAGCAAGGAATGAGAAAGAGAAGAACGGGGAGAGGAAGGAGGAGGAGGAGTAGGAGGAGGGGGAAGACAAAGAGCAGCAGGAGGCCCCCGGAAGAGAGGATGATAATCGGGGCGAGAACGGGGCAACGGCGTCCTGTCCTGTTGTGGCGTCGCCCCGATTCCTCCGCAATCGCCTTGATGCGGTGCGCCGGCAACTCTGAAAGGCGAGACGGGTGGCCACCAGCCGTACAAGGCGGCCTGCACTATCTTCGCAGGGCGGCACTGCACCTTAAGAGGCAAGCTTCGGCTAGGCAGAGAGCAGCAGGGCGACGGAGCCAGGAACAGTGAGGACGAAACGCAGGAGAAGGCCCTCACGGAGGGTGACGAGGGGGGAGGAGGGTCCAAACCCCCACGTGTCGAGGATGGGCCAACATGCCGAGAAAGGCGCGCATTCTTGTGATCATCTGTCCTGATGTTGCAACTGCGTGCTCATTTCTATCGTCGCCTCGCGTGAAATGGCAGCCGTCCACTACGAGGCTCAGCGCGCCAGTCTTAAAGAAGCCGCACTGGCGCTAACACAGGCGTCCTCAAAAGAACTCGCATTAAATTGCCTATTGTTCGCCGAAAAGTCTCATCGCTGTTAGGAAATTACGGCGTCAACTGATTGCTCATGGTCGGCCGCTCGGGGCGGCGGGACCGTCAGTCAATCGGCTAGGAATGCAAGTCTGGCCCCCGCAGCGGTCTAGACGCTGGGGGACCATGCGGCGAACAAACAAACACGGCGTAGGAAGCCTGGGAAACGAGGAGGCGTTACCACAAGAGCGTGGGACAAGAACGTGACCTCCCTCACCAGAGGACCAGAGCCCCTACGGACAGGCTGACGAACGAACCGCATCCCAAGGCAGAGCGCCGCAGCACGAAGTGCATGCAGTCCGCGTAGGGGGAGAGGCGGGGATGGCCTGGCCACAGCGCAGCGACCCGGCTCGTGCCGAGCCGCTCATGGAACGCCCGCGGCACGGGCCACGCCCGAAGTGGGAGGCGCACGGCCCAGCGCACCCAGCGCGCACGATATAGCCCCCCCCCGGAGGCCACCTCGCATCCCCGCGCGGCCCGCCCCTCGCGCTTCGGCAAGGTCGCGCCCTGCAACCATCCAGAGGTTCAGCGGCGCCTGGTAGACAGGGGAACAGCGTTGGCCTGAAAACTGTGACAACTGCTTCACGGATCGGAATCGTACCGATACAGACGTCGGCCATGAACTGTCACCACCGCGCCATGGCGTCACTATTGCACCATGGCGTCAGCGCAGCGCCATGGCGCCACCATTGCACCACAGCGTCACCATGGCATCTGCGAGCGTGCCGGGGCAGACGTGCATCGCCTCCTTGCGTCATCACCTCATTCGTAGCCGGTCTGGCTCAAATGGCGCGACCTGCGAGCGCCATTGCGCCGGTTCCAACGACGGCGAAGCAGCGCAAGCGGAGGAGGAGGAGGAGGAGGAGGAGGAGGAGGAGGAGGAGGAGGAGGAGGAGGGGGAGGGAGGAGGAGGAGGAGGAGGAGGAGGAGGAGGAGGAGGAGGTGGAGGAGGATAACGCTGGGAATGTCTTGGGATCTCCGGGGCTTGGCGCACGAGATCGAGGCCGACACGGGCGGGCACAGGGCGGCCGACTTGTCCGCGTGCGACTTCCGCTTTGCTGTTTGAGAGCGCAGCGGGATCCTCCCTGACATTCGTGAGGCTGTGGATAGCCACGGCAGAGACGTCATCGAAGTTTGAGGGAGAAAAGAGCACCTGCATCTCCGTGCACTTCTTGCGTCCAAGGCAGCGCCTGACTGGGCAACGCTGGAGGAAGTTCGCTTTCTCGGCAGGTTACCAAACGCGTCGCCCACGCGGGCGCGGGGGCGAGACTTCGACGAGACGTCGACGAGACGTCGGACAGCTTCGGAACCAGAGGCACTTCTACTGCTGGGCGTGGAAGTCATGCACTATGTGTGTCTGTCACCTGGCACGTGGCTCTGCTGAACTTGCCTGCGGTGCGACACATCAACGAATGAGTAGACGGGGGGAGGGATGAGGGGAGGAGCAAAGAATGCAGAGGAATGCTGAGGAGTGCGGAGAAGTGGAGTGATCTCGGAAGGAGCGGGCACGCATGTGGAGGAGTGCGGAGAAGTGCAGAGGAGCGCGGAGGAGTGGAATGGACGGTGGACGGGTGGGAAAGAATTGGAGACGTGCGGAAAAGGTTGGAAGAATGGTTAGGAGTGGAACGGAAGGTGGAGGTGTGGGAGGAGCGGAGGAACCATCATGGGTGGGGACGTGTGCGGAGGAGTGTGGAGGAGGGCTGAGGAGTGGAACGGAGTGTCGAGGACTGGGGAGGACTGGGAGGGGTGGGGAGGGAGGAGGAGTGCTGAGAAGGGTGGGGGAGAGCGTAGTGGTGGAATGGTCTGGGGAAGAGTGTGAAAGAGAGCGGAGGAATGGGGAGTAGCGGGAACGCTTGGGAAGGAGTGCGGGGAAGTGCGGAGGAGGACGGACGAGTGCCCCACCCTGTTTTTCACGTATGGCTCTTATCGCTCGTCCAATGGGACCTATGTGTACGTATCGCTTGTATCGCTCGCAGACTGAGAAAGAAGCTAGAACAGGAAATCGATCTCTAGAGGCATGCGAGCGATGCGATAAAAAAGGTCCGATGGGACGAGCGATACGATCAGTAGGGCGCCAATTGACTGCGGCGCGCTTGGCGCATGTGGCGTATCGCCCTGCACCTGCCTGCACCTGGCGGGCGAATCCAACGCGCCAGGCGCATCTGACAGCGTATTTGCTCAGCCACACGGTTGATGGCATCCTGGCCAGGACTGGGCTGCAATCCGCTGGACCAGAACCATCGGAGACATGCGCAACACGCACCAACCACGAAACCCACCAAGAGCCAGAGCCTGTCAAACAGTCCACTGGCAGAACATTCACCTCACGGTAGTCTGCCGCGCCACGCCGACGTCTCGCAGGCACGGGCCGGGCGCCGAACTTGCGACGGAATGCCCAACACGCCGACGCCACCCCCGGAGGTCCCGCGCGCGCGCGGCGCGGGCGGCACACCCTGCGCCGACCTGCAGGCTTTCAGTCGACGTCCGTCGCGGCCCGAGATCCCCAAGCCATCCAGATGGCGGCTCCTGTGTTCACTGTCACGCTCCCTCGTCCCTCCTCGCCTTGTCCGTGCCCCGAGCAGCTGGTCCTACCATTTGGCTGGGCGCAAGTCTCCGAGCCGCTTCACCTTTTTCTCCTCCTTGGGAAGGGACTCGCTGTCCACAGACCTCCTCCCCGAGGACTTTGGACGGGGAGGGGGGCACGTGGATCGCCAGATGGCCGTCAGGTGTCCTCAGGCGGCCTGAAGGCGTGCCCAGTGCCCTCAAACACTGCCGCCTGGGAATTCGGCTCCCCCACTACGATGCCCAAAGAACCGATCGCAGCGCCGAACACGACCACCGTCTGATCGACTCGGTAGGCGTCCGCCAACACGTGCAGCCGCAGCGCCTTGGAGGCGAAGTGGGGTGGCGAGTACTTAGGAAATGAATGCAGGGAGCGTGGTCAAAGTAAGGACGATGGAGAGGACGAAAGCAGGACGTGGGGGAGGCGGATGACGCGGCTGACGAGGAGGGCGAGAGCGATGAGGCAGGATCGAGAACTGGCGATGCCACTCAGGGGGCGGAGGTGAATTGGGCTGATCCTTTCCCCTCTCTTCCGAATCCCCCTTCTTATCACAAGTATCGAGATGTATCTCTCTCGTTGTTTGTCTCTCCTCTCTCCCTCTACATGTGTATACATACACCCTCCTCCTGCTCATCTTCCCCCTCGTGCTAACGAAGCCCAGAGGCCGTCTTATGGCGCATCTCTTTCTCAGACGCACGCCTGGGCACCCGCCCCACAGTCAGCCCTGAATGTCGGTGCCTACTCGGTCTCTCAGCCATATCCTCTTTCAAACGTCGGTGTGAAGAGGGAAAAAGGGTAAGAAACAACAAGGAGACAACGGGTTCACCCGTCAGAGGTCCCGCACATCGACGGCCTCTTCGGCTCCTCCCGCCGCATCCACATATTGATTGAACGACACCGCAACCGTGTCACCGTAGTTGACGACGCCATGCTCAACGCCCTCGGGAACGTAGATGACGTCGCCCTTGGCCTGCACACATTCCAACACCCGGCGCCTGTACTTCTCCGGGAGGGCAGGGTAAAAATTCTCTGCCCAAACGCGCATTCCCGCCTCCTGCTGAAATTGGACGTCCTCCCGCATTGCCTTGTTTTCGTCTGATTCTGCTCCGTCCGTCCCCCCATCAAACATAAACCAGCGTCTGCTTCCTTGCACGCAAGCGTTCAACGCCGAGTCGTGGGCATGCCAGAATAATCCAGTCCCGTTGGACCCTATCATTATATATTCGTCAAGCCTCCCTGTCAAATAAGGAAGTCTGTGTATTGCCGTATCGAAGTCTTCACGGGTCATAATGTCCCCCCATGGCTGAAATATGTAAAGGGAGCTGTTCCGTCGACCTGTTTTTATCAGATTGGAAAGCTGACTTTCTGCACTCCAGTAGGGGGAACTGTCCTCGGATAGTTGAGCAACGGAGTTCATGTTCTCCAAGAATGCCTGGAAATACATTCCCTCTCCGCTTGTCGGCATATATGCGTCTGGTTCTGGAGAAACTGTGGCACGGCCGAACCGTTCCTTCATGAAGGACTTGGTCCACATCTCTTGCGCAGGCCACTTTGCTGCAGCGCCTCGGATGAGGACAGGCCTCTTGAGTGCGTAGTTTGCCTGGAATTCTGCCAAGGAGAAATCAGACGCATCCTTTACGTCGATTGCGCATGGGAATACAGCGCCATCACCGTCTTGCCAATCTGAGCTGTGCGTGGCCTGAACGTGATACCAACCTGAGATGGCCAATGAACTCCAAATGGGTATGCGCATCCAGAGGTGTCGTGGCATATGGAACCCGGGCCTCGAGAAACAAACAACAAGACAACCTGTTCTTATGTCAGCCGAAATGGCTACGGACAATATTGGTATGGTGCACAATGCAGGGCAAAAGCTTGACGCGAAGATCAAGGCCTGCTCAAGCGAGATGGCATTGTCCAAACCGCATGTTGACTTGACCCCCGTGCATGACCACCATAACACATGCCTGCCTGCCTAATTTACCAACCAACCTACCCACTTCTTAGCCACAATTCTCTCTCCTTTCTCAATTTCCTTGTGATTCCCCTCTCTCTCTCCCTCTCTCCCTGCGCTAATTTTATGTACAGCTGTACGGTTCTATATACATATAAATGTATGTAAACATGTGCGTATTTCTATCCGCCTCTGTGTCCCTAAGCATGAAGTGGAGTGTCCTCAAGCCCCTGAAGCTCCTCTGGATATAGGTACTGTAACACTCTTCCGGAACCTCAAGGGTCCAACGAATGGCCGTTAGTCCTGTGGACGCTCCCAGAAGGCTCACCGCATACCCTTCGGGACGTGGTCCGCGACTTTTTCTCGAGGCCAGGGGGCCCGAAGACGGGACAAGAAAGCCTAGAAACTCCCTCCGAATGCTCCTTCAGGGCTCCGAGACGACCCAAGCCGTCCGCAAAACTGACGAGAAGGCCCGACGCCGCGGGAAGGCCCCACGGGGTCTCCCGAGGGAATCCGACGAGGCCCATCATCCGTATACTTCCCCCCAGAGGGGCCCCGAGAGGCCCGCGGCAGGTCCCCAGGATGCCGCCACACGGCCCCAAGAGGCCCCGAGCCCCCCCAAGAAGATTCCAGAAGGAACTGCGACGCAGTTCTCGCAAGATGATCCGAAGGAGGCCGATGCGATCGACCCAAGTGCCGCCGCTAGGGCGGAAGCCCAAAAGGCTCGCAATGGACATCCCAAGAGACCCCGACAGGCACCCATCGATATGCCACAAACAAACACTTTTCAAATTCTGCGCGACCAACCTAGCTGACCGCTCGCCTACAAAATTACCTAGAAACCTCCCTCCATCGCAAAATACAAGGGACACTTTTTACTTGCGCTCGATCGTCACTCTAGCTGGAGCAACGTTTCTCCACTCAATACCCTCGTCGTCTTCCACCGTCGGTCTCCTCCTCCGCCTCCTCCTCCTCCTCGTCCTCCTCCTCCCTCAACCTCATACTCGTCGTCATGCTCACCCTACTCTCCCTCAGCGTCCCTCAAGTGTCTGCTCCCTGCTGCTGCTCCTCCTCCTCCTCCTTCTCCTCCTCTATCAAGTCCGAACTCCATGAACTCTTCGCAAGAGAATCTCGGCGAGGGCGTCGGCGTTGCGGGAGGTCTGGACAGTTTGTTTGAGCGCTCGCGGCCAGAGACACGCAATGCACTTAGCACAATTGCAGCGCGATTGTGGGCTAATCGTATGCTACTTTGGATTATTGCCCTTCGGTTGTAGCTGCTGCATGATGCTGCCTCGTCTTGTGTTGTGCTACATGGGCGCTGAGGCCACTCACCCCCTATGGCTACGGGATCATTTTACCAAGGGGGCGAATACAGTCCCACAACCCCCTGAGGATCCCTGCACATCTCTTGAAACCCCCGGAAGCCCGCGAAAGCCTCTGGAGGCCTGGGGCTGACAAACGCGTGCGAAACCAGAAGGAGGAGAGACAGAGGGGACGAGGGGAAAAGGAGGAGGAGAAACAATACGGGGAGCAAATGTGACGAGAGTGGGCGAAAAGGATGACCAGGGGAAGGACAACGAGGAGCAGGGGAGGGTGGGAGGAACAGGCGGAGGCAACGACAACGACGCGGAGGCTGGGGAACCCGGGGCACCTGCGCCCACCGGAGGGCGCGCCCGCACGCGTGGATGATGGCGGCGTACGTCGAAGCGTTGAGCACCTGAAGCCACGATGGCGGTCGTCGGCGCCGTCGTGTCCCCACCCGGCAGGTGTTGGCCATTGGATATTATTGTTGGGGGGAACAAGAGAGAAGCCTCCCACCCGCCTCTAAAGCTCTGGACAATGCGGCGGCCAGGTCCAAAGCAAAGTGAGTGACGGTGCGATATGTGTGATCGGGGCAGCTTCGCCCACTGGGCCAAGGTCCCTTTAGCCATTCGGGGTGGTTTCTGGGGCCTGGCTAGCCTATGAAAGCGGTCGAACTCCCACCGAGTTTTCGAGCTTGCGCCCAGCCGCGGTTGCGGGGACGGCCCAGAAAACACGTGACAATCAACTCGTCTGCAATCGATCTTCACGGCGACGACGGGGACTTTTCCGAATGCCGCGCGCCGGGGCGACGGGCGACCCGCCCCCCATCCCCAAGTACCCACCCACCCACATTTCCTGCAGCAGCAACGCCAGAAGGAGGATGGGGGGGCGGAGCGGGGGGGAGGCCCGCGACGCCTGGAAACCCAGACGGGGTTACCGCCGATATGGCAAAACGTACGCCCCGCCAAAGAAACCCTAGCCGGAGGCTCTTCGGTTCAATTTACCCTGGAATCCCGCCCCCCAAACAAGAAACGCTCAGGGCGCAAACGCAAAACGGGGCGCAATGTTCACGGGAGAAGGTGAAAGCATAGGAGAACGCTCCTCATCATTAAAGACGAGGGGCGGCCGCGTCCGAAGGCGGCTCTAAGTGCTGCAACTGCAGGGGCTTTACCTTTCATCAAGTGTCGAACGTCTTCGGCAGGTTCGGCAGGTGGAAGTGCGACATCACCAGAAGTCGCCCACACATTATTCCAAGGCAGATCCAGCCGTGGAAAACGCAAAATAATGGGACGCGGGAGAGGCCTGTTACGGTCTGCTGGGGCCCCAATCGAAAGCCGGGTGCCGGGGCGAGCCGCGTGCCTGCCAAGACAAGGATTCCGAAAACGCGCCGCGATCCATCGATCATCAACACGACGACCTGCAACAACTCTAGACGACAGTCGGAACCTTGAGAGCGCAACAGCTCGGCAAAAACACAAACGTGGGGCAAATCAAGGGTCATATGGCAGAAACTGTAACCACCGTGAGTGGCACGATGAATGGCCACGCCGCTCTCCGCTCGTTCGTTCGCAAATCATATGGCACGACACATCGGATCAGCAGGGGAAAAGTGCATGCCGCGCAGGAGAAGCGGCAGTGAGAGATTGCACCTGAGCTTCTATAGGGCCAATGGAAAGACAATATTGTCGAACAGTTGCTTTCCAAACTGCTTGTCCATGCGCTGCAAAACGAAGGTTCCTGAATAATGCGCACAACGCCTCGTGGGGAGAGAGAGAGAGAGGGGGACGGGGGGGAAGGAGGCGGGAGGGGCGGGAGGGGGCGAGGACAGGAGGTCATCGCTAGCTTCGCCTGCTCACATATCACCGTTGCCCATCTCAGGCGGGGTCGTCCTCATGCTCGAACGCCATCCGGTCGGTCGCGCTGGCTCCGGTGACCCAGGCGCCAGGACAGCAGCCCGCAGTGGGGACTCATCCAGCTGGGAAGCAATCCGCCCATAAACAACAAATTGCCGCATCAACACAACGCTGACACGATTCTGGCGAGCTTGTCGTATGACGTCTCCATTCGATATGTGCGAGATCATCGAATGTGGCACGTTGTAGATGTTTCGTAGACATCGGGCCTGGCATGCATCGATCTTGTTTTGTCAGCCTGGCGAAAACAGTGTCTCTAGGCTATACAACAACTTCGACACCACGCAGAAATTGTAAATATCCGTCTTCCTGGCACGCGTGATGTTCGAATGTTTCCAGACATTTTGCAAAGTGTCAAATGCAGCCGATGCTTCGCCAAGCCTGCGCGCGATGGAGGCCCCTGTAGACCCATCTGCCTTCAGATGGCTGCCGACATAAGTAGCACTGTTCGCCGGCTTGATCAGAGAGCCTTGAGGCGTGACCACACGTTGATGTCAGTTGGCGGCGCCGGCCCGAGGACCGCCTGAACGTCCTCGTCCACATCGGCCATTACCACTGTGAGAACGATGATAAACAAATATGGGCTTAGCGGGCACCCTTGTGCAATACCCGTCCCTTGCGAATAGACTGCAGAAGAGACCTGTCGATCTCGGACTTCGAACGCTCGACTGTCATATATGGCAGAGATCATTGCTAAATAGTGGTCTGGCAAACCAAACCGCGCAATAGTGGTCTGGCAAACCAACCGCCGCTCTCCGGGAGCAGCGAAACTGCATTGATGGTCAGGCCTGTGCGAACAACGACTCGAATTCTATGCACAAAGCTGTGCGATTGGACCCTCGTAGACAGATCAGAGACGCATGCCTAAGGCTAGTGGAGGCGTGCGAGCAGTACATTGCCGACTTACACGACCAGCTCCAGAACAGTACTGCGATGCACGCCTGCAAAATGGATGGGATCAGACAAGACAAGGCAGCTGAACATGCCAGGTTGAATAAACTGATCGATTCGGCTTATGGGAAAGTGAACGAGGACCGCAACAAAAAGCACAGACAGTTCTGGCGGCCAGGCTCGAGCTCATAATTGCAAGCTTACGCCCAGCCGAGAATAAACAGGACGACCCGACAAAAGAGATGTACGAATCAAACCGTTTGCAATCGCTCCTCACGACGACGGCGGCGACTTGACCCCTGCCGCTCGCCCTGATCACGAATGCTGCGCGCGGGGCGGCGGACGATCCTCCCCGTCATGCAGTAGCAACACCAACAGGAGCGGAAGAAAAAAGGCGGAAGGCCCAAGACGGACCCGCGAACCCCCGAAACCCGGACGGGTCACTGCCAAACGGAAACGTGCGCCGAAAACGAAGGGCAACAACAATCTGCGACGGATGACGGCTGCATGCCGCGGCCGCCAGGCCCAAAGAGCGCTGGTGGTCCCTGGGGATCCCTCCTCGCCTTCTCGGGTGGTGACTGCTCGAGGCCAAATACAATGATTGACTGCTTTGATGTCTGGTCTCTCTCTCCTTCTTTCTCTCTCGTTCTCTCTCCCTCCCTCTTTCTGTCTCTGCTTCTGGCTCTCTCTCTCTCTCTCTCTCTCTCCCTCTCTCGCTATCTGACCTTACATTGCTGGGCCTCCCCAACGACCTTGGGGGACACCCAGGAGACTCCAGGAACCTCAGGAGAGCCTCGCTGCCTTCCTGGACACTCCCCCGCCCTCTTAGAAGGCCCCCTTCCTTCGAAGTACCCCCCTTGCGCGCGCCGCCAGCATACTTAGAAGAAGAACGATAGAACATCAACATAAGCATTCGAAGGTCCGCGCGGATTTCTTGGATCTGCGCTGAGCTCCCCTCCTTGGCGCGCGGACGGCGCCAAGGACGGCACCGAAAGCGCCACCAGGGACGTCCAGTGCCGATCCAAGAACTCCGCGCGCACCTTCGAAAGCTGAAGTTCATGATGTGCTTCTTCTTCTTCTTCTTCTTTTCCATCTTCTTATTCTTCGAGTGCTCAGGGCGGCGACGACCAGGACGACGGCAGCGCCAGCGACGGCGGCACTTAGTAGCGCATGCAGCAGCAACAAAGCACCCAGGCGGCGGCCGCCGGAGGGCGGCACTGCCGTGGCGGGTGGCGCCGACGACGACGACCACAACGACAGCGGCCACGACGACGCGGAGGAGGAGGAGGACGACCAGCACGACAACGACCAGGATAATTAGGACGCTTAAGACGACGCCGAAAACGACCAGGGCAACCAGGACGCCGAGGAGGAGGAGGAGGAGGAGGACGACGACAAGGACCAGGGCAACCTGGATAAGGAAGACGACGGCGGCGGCCGCGCACGCTCTTTTGGCGCCAGCGGGGCGCCCCTGGGAAAAAATTGCTAATCACGGCAGGTTCGTGACGTGTCGACGTCGGCGTTGGTTTCTTGCACCACGTAGATCGTTCAATCTTGAACGATCGCGACACTCCGATAGCCAGGATCGTGCGATGTCGGCCGAATCTGGGTCACTGGCGGCGTTTAACCTTGAAAGCCCGTGCTCATTCGGGTCGCCGCCGCGTCGACACGACACGAACCTACAGTAGGGGCCATTCCACAAGAAACCTTCCACAGGATACCCTACCCTGAGACCTCAGGACGTCCATTGATTTTTGGTATGGGAACGTCACGCTTTCCATAGCTAAACCATCGAAGCCCAAGAAATCTGGGGCACCCTAAAGGCAAGCAGGGTGTTTCTTGGCATGGGTCTCCACTGTACCGTACCCTCGATGGCTCAGTGTGCGTGGTGGGTTCGGTCGCGCACGGCAACGAACAAACGAACGGACGACGCGTTCCATCGGTCCAGAGGCAGTGCGGGCCGCGCAGTGAGGGTAGGAATTGCTGCCGTCGCCCCGAGGTCCAGGACGGACCCGCCGACGCCGACGCCGAAGCCGACGCCGCCGCCGCCGACGCCGACGACGACGACACCGCCGCCGAGGCCGAGGCCGAGGCCGAGGCCGAGGCCGAGGCCGAGGCCGAGGCCGAGGCCGAGGCCGACGCCGACGCCGACGACGACATCAACGACGGCGGCGACGAAGGCGGCGACAGCAGCGGCGGCGGCGGCGACGGCAACGGTGGCGGCGGCGACAGGCCGAAGGCGACTGCGGCGACGGCAACGGCGCCGACGGCAGCGGCGGCGGCAGGCCGAAGAAAGCGGCGGACGGCGGCAGGAACGGCGCCTACGGCGGCGGCGACGTGCCGAGGCCGAAGGCCGCGGCGGCGACGACGCCGCGGCGGCGGCGCTGACGGCGAGCGCACCGGGCTCGGCGGCGCCCCGCACGGCAGCAATAGCAGCGCCCGCTCCCACGGCAGGCCCCGCACGGACGGCGCCTGCCCCGTGGCCGCCGCGCGCCCTGCGGGCGCTGGCGGCGCCGTTGGCGTGGCGCCGTCGTCGGCGCCGTCGGAACCATCGGCGCCGTCGTCGTGCCGCCGTCCCTAAGTCGCCGACTCGCACTGAGGTGCCCGCAGGGATGTGCCCAGCGGTCAGCGCCACTGCGGCTGCGTCGGTCGCGCCAAAGTGGCTGGCCGCACCGCGCGCGTGCATGCGCGGGCTGTCGCGGCCGCATAGATGCACCAGCCAGCGCCCAGCACCCATCGCCGCCGCATGGGGTTTGCAAACCAAGTTACGGCTGGGTGGGTGGGATGTTCGCGCAAGCAGTGGAATGGACAACTTCAAGCTGAACGCTGATCGAATACACCTTATAGATTGCACGAGGTTGATTGCTCGACATCGATTGCGCCACATAGATTGCTAGAAGCCCACTCTCTGGGGTCCATGTTGGCTACAATCTTCATGTCGGGAACAACTCCGCACACCGAGCACAAGTCTGCAATGGGTCTCTTCAGCGGCCACCAACGCATGTTGCCGCTCACGCTGCGTTGGCATGGCCAAACACGGCGTGCAACTCAAAGAGCGAACTCGCTGTTGCAATCCTGCGGCCCTCCTCCTCTGGTCTGTGCCGTTTTGCGTGCCCGGTCCGCGCCCTGGTCGACCCAATGGTCGGACTGTCGGCGCCAGTGTCAAAACGACAGGGCCTGTCGGCTCTAGCACAATGCTGCCGCAGGATCGGCCAGTCCGCACGGAGCAAGGGACAATCTGAATCCCCCCGAGCAGGCTGCACACCGACTGCGGCCTGTCAGCCTGTCAGCCTACAAACAGCCCGCGGATCCGCCTGTCAGCTCGAGGACAAGCAGGTGCCCCGGCGGAGAGAACGGAATACGAGAAACAACCATGAATTGTGTTTCTCGAGAGAGAAGTGAGAAACAAATTAACATAGAAATCGAAGCTGAGAGCACGAAGCGAGCTTGCGAAGGTGCGACAAGTATACGTGTGTATATATATATATACATCCATACATCCATACATACATACATATATATATATATATACATACATAACAGTAAAACCACAGGCAGGAGCATGGAATGGGGATCCCCCACCGCAGCGCCCCGGCGGACAAATGCGGGGAACGCCCGGAGGCTGCGAGCAGGACGTAGTTCACCTCAACGCCCAAATCCTCCTACGCGCCCACTGGGGGCCCGCAAAAGGCAGCCTCGACAGGCGAGAGGCACGGGGCGCAGGCGCGCGCGCAGGCCGCCAGCAAGGGCGAGGCGCTGCGCGGGCAAAGATGCACCGGGCAGCAAACCCGCGCGCGGACCAAGACCCAGTGATCTTGTCCGCCAAGACCTGCGGACCGCGCCCCCGAGGCGGCACGAGCGCCACCGCTGTAGGCCCGCAGACGGCGGCCACGACAGGCGGTAGGCATGGCGCAGGCGCCCGCGCAGGCAGCCTCGAAGAGAGAGGTGCTGCGCGGGCCGATCGCGTCCTGGGCAACGCCTTGCCCGCGCGTGGAATAAGACCACTCCTGGTCTTGTCCTCCATCCGCACGCCCTCTGCCAGGGCAAAGGCCCCCTCCGCCACCTGGCGCCGTGCCGCCAGGCCCCACTGCGCGCCCTCGACCCCCTCGAAGTGCCGGCTGCGCCGCTAGCAGCGCCTGTCCTCGTGGAAGGTGTTCAGCTCGTGTCCATGGGGGGGGGCGCCTCCTCCGCAGCGCCTGAGCCTTGCAGCGTCGGGACCGAACGGCTAAGCGCGGCAGTGCCCCGCGCGGCATTTCTTGACCCCCGCTTCCGCGCGCGCAGACTGCAGGCGCTATCGGCAGTGGATGCCGTCAGGGACCTTGATGATGCCGCCCTACTACACGATGTAGAGCAGGGGCCCCTTGCACAAGGGCTCCTCGTAGTTGCGCTCGAAGTTGCCGCGCAGCTCGGCCGCCTCCGCGCCGCCGTTGCAACCCAATAGAGCATGGCGTCCAACGCAAGCTCCCTGGTGCTCCTGGCCTGCCTGGCGGCGACTGGCGCCCTAAACTGGTCCGCCGCGAATCTCGCGCGCCTGACTGCCTCGCGGCGGCCCCGCCCACTGCGCGGCGCGTCGTCGGCGCGAGGCGTGGGGGGGCTGAGCGCCTTCGCGCGTGGAACCACTGCCCCTTGTCCAAAACGGACCTGGCGCAGCCCCGCTGGGCCTCCATGGCCGCCTTCCACTTTCAGGCGACGGGCCCTTGCCTTTTGAGGGCCTGGCGCGTGAACTGGCTGACGAAGGCCCCGTGCTCGAAGCCCCCGCGGGTGCCCCTGGCCAGCTGCAGCTGCCATCTCAGAAAATCTGATGCAGCGCCTGCTTGAAGGAACGCGGTTGCAAGTCGCTGACTTTGAAATTCCCGCTGCCATCGGGCCCGGCCCACATCTCGTAGCCGCGCAACTCGCGGCCGATGCGCTCCCGCGAGAGCACCGCTGCGCCCGCGGGCTCCTTCGCCTGGCCCCGCCCGGTCGCGCCCTCGGCGTGGCCTTTGAAGGCGGCCCCGAGCCAGCTCATCGGTAAACCTTCCCCCCGCGATGCCCTCGCCAGAGTGCAGACTGGCTCGAACGTGGCCCCGTAAATGTGGTCGATCTCCTTCGGGCCTCCAATCGCGAGGCAGGTCGTGGTGGACTCGTTTGGGACCGAACCTCGACAGCCTTCGCGATCGAGGCCCCCGCCCGCGCCAGTCCGAAGCCCGACGTGCCCGCGCGGGGAGCCCCTTGCATGAAGCTCGGCACGAGCCACGCGGCGACCCGACGTCCTCGCTGTAGACAATGAAGACGTCGTAGGCATGGGGGCCTGTCCATGTCGCGCTTGAGCCAGTCCTTCCTGGCCTGCACGTCGTTCTTGCCTGCCTCCGCGCGGCGCGCGCCCAGGACTCGTGCGCGCCCTGCACCTTGCGCCCCAGCCCTTTGGATCAGCGCGTCTTGCAGCCGCTTCCTGAGCTTCGCGTTGGAGCCTGGGGCTCTGTGCTTCCTGGTTGCGACCTTTAGCCTCAACTTGACGACCCTCTCGACCAACGCCTCAGCGCCCGCGGCGAGGTCTTCCGCGACCCTGCACTTGCCGCCCCAGCGCTGCATCGCCAAGTCGCCCGCCACCGTCCATCGCGGGGATGCCCGCCGCCCGCTTGACCCTAATCTCGTCCCCCTCCGCCCGTCATCGGGTTGAGGGCGAACTCGGTGACTGAGTCGGGCCACACGCTTCGCTCCCCGATAACGGCGCACAGGTCGATCAACCCCTCGAGAAGCTCATCGGCGAGCAAATGCAGCTCTCGGGGGCGCGTCGGGTCGAAGGAGGAGCCCGCGGCCTCGTCAGTGCTGCCGGTGACCCCCCCGGCCCCCTCCGCCATTGAGCGAGGTGGCCTCTCGCCCAGCTCGTCTGGACAGCCTAGATTCTCGTGCTTCGTGATGTTGCCAATGGGCTCGGGGGCCCTCGCGCCCCAATGCCCTGCCCCCCCCTTCACTATGGCCCTGGCGGTCTCCTGAAGAAGAAAAAGAGGGGCCGCCCAGGGTCGCGCCCAGGGCCCGTGGGGCCCAGCCTTGCGAAGGCGCGGCGAGGGCGTGCAGGGCCCCCCAACCTCGGGAGTGCCTGTCGACCGCCCAGTAGTTGTAGCCTCGCTTCCTGCGTTTGACCTCACCGTGGACATCAGAGTCGGCATCCTCGGACACGTAGGCGCTGACCGCGCGCGTGGAGCACGCGTCCAGGTGCTCGGCGTGGGCTGCGAACAGGCTGTCCTGCCGCGCGAGCTGCGCGCGCCCTTGAACGGCGCCGCTGGCGGAGCGGCCGCGCTGCGCGTTGGGCCCCTCGATGGTGCGAGCCCGCTGCCGCCGAAGCGACTGCTTGCCAAGCGCGGCGCCCTTGAGGGCGAGCGCCGTGCTCATGGGCCACATTACGCCTGCCCTGACCCGCGGCGGCCACGGCTGGCTTGGCGCCGTGACCTTCGCCGCATTGAGGCGCGGCCCCCAGGCGCGCCCTGAGTAGAGCTCGAACTCGCGAGCGAGGCCGGGCGCGCTAGCCATGTTCCACTCCGCCTGGTAGGCGAGGACCTTCCACTTGCCGTCGACGGAGCTGGTCGCCTCCATGGCCTCGCGCTTCGCTGTCCACTCGGCGCACTGCTCGGTAGCGCAGCGCGGGAGGCCCGCGGCATGGGGAGTGGGACCAACCATGACCTGCATGCTTTGCTCACTGGTGCCACCGTCAATCTCGAACTTCACAGGAGAGAGCGCGGGGCGGCATCCCGAGCAAGCGGGATCTTCGCGTTGGCCTGGCCGAAGCACTCGCTGGTCACCCAGTAGTCGATGATGCGCCCTCCAGAGCGGCACGCGCCCGCGTCTGGCGACGCCGCCCTCGGACTAAGTGTGACCAAGACGCCCGACTGGGCGTGCTGCGGCGGCCCCAGGTTGAAATCGCCTCCGAAAGCGGCGGGCTTGCCAATAATCCTTGCCGCCCCGTACACCTTCAGGACTTGCGCGTTCAGGACGGGCGCGCCCTCGTTCGCCCTGAGGTAGAAGTTGGTCCACGTGACCCCGCCAGGGACCACGCCCGAAAGGTGCGCCGAGCTGGCGCGCCCTGGGAAGATGCTGAAGTCGCAGAGCGGCTCGAAGACTTCGAGCCCATACGCGCGGGGAGCTAGCGGAAGTAGCCTTCCGTGTTCTGACCGTCACAGCCGCAGCGCTGGCCATAACGCGGCAGCCTCCGCGCTTGAGTTTGTCGGAAACCTCCTTGCAGCACACCTGGCTGAGATGGGTCTCCTCGGCGGCTGAGAATAAAACCGCCTCCTAGCGGTTGTGCCATAGACTGCGCCCCTGGCGGCGGATAAGGAAACCGCCTCCTATCGGTTGCGCCATAGAATGCGCCTCTGGCGGCCGAGAGTGAAGCCGTCTCCGAGCGGTTGCGCCATAAGTTGCGACCTTGGCGGCCGAGAATCAGACCGCCCCCTATCGGTTGCGCCCTCGGCTTCCGAGAATGAAATCGTCTCCTGGTTGCGCCCTCGGCGGCCGAGAATGAAACCGCCGCGTAACGGGAGCGACCAGGTCTGCTCAGTTCAGTCTTGTTCAGTTCAACTCAGCCATATTACTTCACGAGGAACAAGTTCGGGTTACGCCTGGAAGCAACTTGCCTGGCCAACAAACCCAACCCATTGTAAACGCGTGGCGGCTATCAGCAAAAACGCTCGGCGCCCATAACCATACTGAGGGATCTGCAGTGCCCCTGGGCGCTTCGTCAAAGAACGCAACGCCACATTCATCAACGCCACCCAGTCACGCACGCACTCTCACGAGTCAAAAGCGGCGGGGCCCCATACGGACGCATCCACTGGGGCCTTCGGTGGAGTTCCCTGTGAGGCAGCGAAGCGTGTGAATGGTGCAAACGCTGACCCGAATCTGCATGCGGACCCTGCCGTTTGGGCCTTCGGTGGAAATACCTGTGGGGCCACCAAACGTGTGAGAGGTGCCAAAATGGAAACGAATCCACATGCGGATCCTGCTACTGGGGCCTTCGGTAGAGCTCCCCATGCGGCCACGCAGCGTGCGAATCCTGTACCGAAATGGACCCCATGCGGCCCCTACTACAGGAGTCTTCGGTGGAGCTCCATGTTGGGCAGCGAGACTGGTGAGTGTGGCGAAACTGTGATGTGAATGATTGTGGTTGGAACGAATATGAAGGCGATGATGCTGACGACGACGATAATAATGACGAAGGTAAGGATGATGACAAGGAAGTGGGGGCAGAGGAGAGGAGCAGAAGAAGGAGAACGGAAGGAGGCGCACGGCAGTGCGAATTCAAAACTAGGACCCAATATGCCAGAGGGTTGGGATACTTATAGTTCCGCCACCGCACCTTCGGCACGCAGTAGAGTGCTCCAAGGCTCATGCAGCTCTGCGAGGTAGAATGTTTGTGGTTCTCAGGGTTCGCAAGGGCCCGGACACCCAATTTCCTAGGCGGTCCTGCGCCCTGCCGGGGTGTGTCGCCTGAGCTGCCGGGACGCCAGGAAGGCCCCAAGACGGGCTAAGAGGACCGTACGAGGCCTCAGAGACGGCCGAAGAGGGTCCCAAGTCGTCGATCGATCGGTCCAACACGCCCAAAACGGCCGCCAGACTGCCGAAAATACCCCCAGGACGCCCCAAAGTTGGTCCAAGAGGCCTCCCAAGAGGCTAAAATCATTGATCGTCACTATTCCAAAAGATTTGGGCGATCTCGCCTTTGCGGCTTCCCGACGCTCCAGGACGGTCCAAGGGGCCCCCAAGATCGCCCCAAGACAGCGCAAGAGGCCTCCAAGAGGGTCCCGAAACAGCCCAAGAGGGCCCCCAAACGGTCCAAGAGACGCCAAAAGATAGCCCCAGAGTCCACCAAGACGGCCCCAAGAGGGCCCCGACGAGGGACCCGAATGAACATTTCGAGCTCTCGGCCCCGGGAGGCCGCGAGGAGGCCTCACGAAGTCTCCAGAGGCCGCCCAGAGCCCCCAAGGCCCCCAGGAAGCCCCAAGAGGCTCCCAAGAGGCTCCCAAGAGGTCCCCCATAGGCTCCCAAAAAGCTCCCAAACTGCCTCCTAGTAGTCCCCCAAGAGACCCCAAAAAGCATCCCTGAGGACTCTGACCCGCCACCCCAGCACTACGGCGAGAGAGTGCGAAAACCATCCGATAACTGCGCTCTCTGGCGGCCGTTGGGGACGGTCCGAGCACCCCACGGAACGCTCTCGGCACGGCGCAGCTGCTGGAGAGCACCCCGAGGCCGAGAAACCGCCGAGAACCAACGAGAACGTCGGGAAACCTCGAACCCTGCCCCCGAATCCCTGGGGAAGCGGGCCCGCCCCGCGAGCCTCGTAGGCCGAGCCGCCGCCAGCGCCAGAGGCCGCGTTGGAGCATCGCCGGGGCGCCGCGCGCACCGGGCGCACATTGGCCGAGGGCGGGGAGGCGCCGGCAGCCGCCGGCGGAGGCCGCCCAATCCCAGGATTCCCATCTGAGCCCGTTCGGCGTCTGAGCTCGAGGTTCGAGGTGTTCGTGCGTTGTCGTGGGTTCTCGGCGGTTTTCTGGCCTCGGGATGCTCGCTCGGAACTGCGCCTCGCCGAGAGCGTTCCAGGGGTGCCCGGATTGTCCCGAACGGTCGCCGGGGAGCCGAGTTCTGACCTGGAAGCCAACGGGCAAAGGCAACATGAGGTGGAGGTCCGCGTAGTGGAGGAGGGCGCGGATGCTGGCGGGGTCGGCTTCTCCAGGATGCTGCCAAAAAGGGGCGGTGGACAGCTTCAACGTGTAAGGCGTGGTCAACACGCCGTTTCGCACAATGCCCAGCACGGTTTGCAACTAAGGTTTCCCTGGCCCTTTGGAAGGGAATCCAAGTAACAAGGGGCGCCCTTCCAGGACCAGCTCCGCGGCCCAGAAGCGCTTGCCCGCTGCCCGCCCAACCAGCGCACGCCAACCCAACTGATACCCCCGCCGACGGCCCGCCCGAAACCTTCTCACATCACCCAGAACAGCCTACCCCATCAGCCCTTCAGGGCGTGAGGGATGCGGAGAAATTCCTCTTGCAACCTCTTTTCTTCTTTCGGGGAGGGGTTTACCACTCCACACTCACACAACATAAATTCTACGCTCCTCTCTTCCTTGACTCTGTCCGGAGGGTGTCCCGTCCTCTCCGCGTATTGTTTTTGAGACAGGGTTTCATTACGTGTTCGGTACGTGTTTGCTTCCTACGTGCTCTTTCAATCCAGTCGTTTCTGGTTCTTCCAAAATGGTGTTCCCGCTGCAGCGCTGCCCTCGTTTCCGCGCACCGGTCATTCAAAATCGCGCTCCCGCTGCAGCGTTGGCCTCGCCCACGCGCCTCCGGACGGCAGTTGGCACTCGAAAGCGCCAACCTCGGGCAGGCACGGTTGCGGAAGATATGGAGCTGACATTCTCGATCGGCGCGGTCCTCTCGTAGAGGGGCCTCTCGTAAACGTAGCGCTGTCGTACGCAATTCCACGCTATGCTAAAACATGTTATGTTTTGCCGTGCTCTTCTGCGCCATGTGTTTTCCATCCATCGCGAACCATGTTGGGATCATTGCCGCGCTCGACGTCCGACTGTACGAATATATGAGATATCTACGCCATGGTACGGGATGGGAGTGGTAGGGCGTCAGATGTGACCCTAGCGCGCCTAGCTTGCCCGACCACCTCCCCCTGGACCTTGACGTGGGGAGGTCGCGGGCCCTAGTTTACCACGGCCCCTCCCTTGATCGATCTCCTCCAAGATGGCCTCAATATGGCCCCCGTGGCTCGCAAGGGTGCCCCGAGATGGGCCCAAGAGATGCCCAGGAGGCCTCGAAAGGCCCCCGAACGGGGCCCCCTGCAAGTGCCCCCGCGAGGCTCCGAAGAGACTTCCAAGAGGCCGCAAAAAAAACCCGCAGAGGCACAAACGACGCCCCCCACCAAGTGGCTTCAGCGAAAATGCCACAGGCACTGTTCAAACTAAACCAGATGTTGGCCTCCTGGGCGGAAGGGCTAATCCCACCAGCGCTCCAGGCGCGATGTCCGATTCTAACCCGTTTTTTTTTTTTTTGTTTTTTTGTTTTTCTTTCCGGGGAGAAGCTCACCCTTACTTCTTATGACTAGACACCCCCAGACCCCCACCTAGACGGCCGATAGCAAGCCCGCCGTCCGAACTGTAATCAAACAAGCTCAATCTCAACATGTTTCTCGCCAGAATGTCGTCGAGTTGCGGTAAGTGTAGCAGGAAAAGGACATAATGAACATCGCTCGGGGGCCCTAAGTGGGTGGTCGCGGCCTACCTATCCAGAAACAAAACAAAGTCAACGCTTTTCTCGGCATCGTGGACTATGTTGATGTGTTAAAAAAGGGAATGGGACGCGGCGCGCATCGCGCGCGGACGCCTGGCCAACCCTACGCGGGACCCCCCGTCCTACCCGGCAAAACAACACCGCAACGTCGACGCTGGTCTGGCCAACGTGTATTTTCTCCTCGTCGGCGTTGCGAATCGCATGCGGAAATGGGACGCGGCGAACATCGTGCGGGGACGCCTGCTCGTCAACATGGACTTTCTTGTCGTCGACGCTGCGGCCCGTCGGGTTGAGGAGCTGGGCGGCCGGCAAATCATAATGTTTCAAGCAAATGCGGTTCGCCGCCAGCGCGCCCGTTGTCGTCCACGTAAGAGAGACATCTCTCCCTACCCTCATCCTCCTCCTCCTCCTCCTCCTCCTCCTCGCCCTCCCCCTCCTCCAGGCGCGGCAGGGGCGAAACGATTGGCGGTGCAACGCGCGTGGCTGGAATGAGACTCGGCGCACCTCGCGCGCTGGACATGTTGTCGCCGACGATGCAACATGAGAGGCCGGAGCGGGGCGCGGCGTACATCGCGCGCGTCCATGTTTCTCACGGAGCCCTCTGGCTCGTTCGAGCTGGCTAACTTGACCCTTCCCCTTACCCCTACCCGTGGACCTGAACGAGGGGGGTCGCGAGCAGATAGAGCGGCCAAAACGGCATCGGCGAGAAAACATGTTTCACTGATGGGATTCAGGCGTTGGCCACATGTTGGTCTCCTGGGGGGGGGTTTATTTGCTTCGGCCCATCCTTTGATCGATCTTCTCAAAGATGGCCCCAAGAAGGCCCCCGAG